TCACTTTGGAAAATTTTAATTCGAGTGGAGTATTGATTTTCCACAAATTTTTGAAATTGAATAAAAACATTCTAAAAGTCAGATTTCAATTTTAAAGGATAGAGCCACGTGAAACAAGAATAGTCATCGATAAAAATGACATAATAGACAAATCCTAAATTAGATTTGACTGGAGACGGACCCCAAATGTCGCAATGGATAAGATCAAGTGTTTTCGATGACCTATGTTCATTTCGAGAATAAGGCAAGCGATGACTTTTAGCAATTTGACATGTGCCACATAAAGTTGGAGAAGGCAACAAAGATGTAAGATAAAGCTGGCCTTTTTTATTCAATAGAGAAATAACAAAATGATTGACATATCCAAGTTGTGCATGCCATAAATCATAGGACGCACGAAGCGATTTATTTTTAAGAACAGAAATAAAAGTAGAATGACTTCGCTCAAGCACATATAAGCCTCCATCACGCTTGCCGGTTGCCACCATCATTCCTGTTTTGCGATTCTGTATAGTGAATATGTTATTAGTAAAGGTAACGGATAAAGGAAAATTTGATGTTAATTTACTGATGGAAAGTAAATTCTTGGTAAGGCGAGGTACAGCTAGGACATCAAGAAGATGTAGATTTGGGGTAGGGAAAATTTTACCAGTATGGGTAATGGGTAGTGATAAGTGTGTTTTTACACACTTATTTTGTTCACAAACATGACTTAAATATGGATAAAATGGTTGAATTGTGACTTAATCCAGTTAAATTTATGCATTGTAGGTAATTCAATGGAATTTGTGGAATTCAGGAGAAAAGACCCGAAGAAGGACCAAAACGCAACAATTTGATAGTTCGAGGACCAACAGTGCAATTATTGAGAAGTTGAGCTAAATGCAGAACGAGAGTAAAAACATGCCGAGTATGAGCTCAATGACAAAGCAAAACAAGTGGAGGAAGAAAGAATGGAAGATGGACTAAAATGAAGATAATTGAAAGTTGGAGGACTAAAGTGCAAATACTCAAAAG